CACACGTGCCCTATCGTGAAAAACCTCTAAAAAAAAAGACTAAAACAACTCCTTCAAAACTCCCTTAAAATGTGTGCTTAACTCTCCATCCAAAAACTGAGAGTCCCTCTTAAAACATCACACTTAAAAAAAGTAAAAATATCAAGCATATTTGTTATAAAACCTCCAACAGTATAGACAACAAAAAGTGTAATTAAAAATTTCCAAAAAAGGGGTTATTTTTAAAATATTAGTGTCTGGACCAGCAGTTGGCATAATGGCTATGTCGCTGGACTCCCACGTAGTCGACCATGGTTCAAGTCCCAGACCCAGTGGCTTAAACTTATGCCAGGCTCATGTGTGTACGTGCCCAAGATTCTGAGAGGAGAATGAAGGGGAAGGGATTGAAGCTTGGCCAACTCCCCTGGGGGTGATTTCTCACTTTCTGTCTCTCTGTCTCTCTCTGTCTTTCTAGCAAGCCCAAGCACCCTAAAGCAAAAACCTCTTCAAAAAAAAAAAATTAGTGTCAAAGTAACTCCATGGAAATTGGCTTATAGTCCTGATATATAATATGTCATGTTACATACTACATGTTGTATGTCTGTATAAAAAAGGACTCAAGGGACCAGCAGTTAGTGTAATGGCTATGTCACTGGACTCCCACATAGTCGACCGCGGTTCGAGTCCCAGACCTGGTGGCTTAAACTCACGCTGGGTGCGTGTGCGTGCGTGCCCAAGATCCGGAGAGGAGAATGGAGGAGAAGGGATTGCAGCGTGGCCATCCCTCTGGGGGGTGATTTCTCGCTTTCTGTCTCTCTGTCTCTCTCTGTCTGGTGAGCGCATGTGCCCTATAGCAAAAACCTCTCAAAAAAAAAAATACTCAAAAAATTCTATTCAATTTGGTTTATAAAAAGAATGCTCATAAAAATTGCTTTAAATTCATGACTAACTTTTTCTGGCTTTAGTTTAGTACTACCGAAAGATCTTTTGTTTTTTGAGAGGTTTTTGCTATAGGGCACGTGCGCTCGCCAGGAAGACAGAGAGAGACAGAAAGTGAGAAATCACCCCCATGGGGGATGGCCATGCCGCAATCCCTTCTCCTCCATTCTCCTCTCGGGATCTTGGGCATGCATGCACACACGCGCCCGATGTGAGTTTTAAGCCACCAGGCCCTGGACTCGAACCGTGGTCAACTACATGGGAGTCCAGCGACATAGCCATTACACTAACTGCTGCTCCCTCAACAAAAGATCTTTGACTTCAAAATAACTCTTAAATGTTTAGAGAGGGCCCCTGAGACATCCAAAAAAAATGTTAAACTGATCAGACTTATTCTTTATAAGTTAAATAAAAATAAAAAACACTGTCAAAATAGTCATTCTAATTTTCTTGACATTATATTTAAATTATATATAAAAATATGTTATGTACATATATATATATAGTGTTCCAAAATAATTTGAAATTCTCAAAAACTTATGGTGAAATATTGATCAGTTATATTGTAGATTATTATGTTAAAATGATATCTAGCCAAATTTCTTTGTCAGTTATAAACTTCTGTCAAAACTAACTATGACTATAATCCTAATGTTATATCCTTTAAAAAATTCATGAAGAGAATAAAAAAGTACTCTTACAAATACCAGTTTGTAAAAATGTAATCACTTAACTAAATAAAATTTTCATTTTCTATGTAAACTGATTAGTTTTCTAAATTGTCAAGCCAAAATTAACCAAAAAAATAAAAAAGTTTGACAAAATTACATGTTAAATAGCCAATATAGTACACCTAAATTAAAAAAATAAAGTTAATATAAAAAAACTCCAATGTTAAACATAAATTCATAAAAACATTACTACCTAGTTCTCGCTGAGTCCTCCTTATAATTCCTGTTGTTAAGTTAACATACTTTAGTTATTCCTATTGTTAGTCTTTAAATTTAATAAAATTAAAGAAGTCTATTAAATTGTTCAGTTTTACATCAAAAAAGTAGTTAAAACAAATTTTGTTACTATTGTTTGTTTATACATGTTCATAAACTACCAATATTTATAAACATACATAATTCTTTTTTCACAAACTTAATAACTCCTCAAAAAAATATCAAATTTCCCAAAATAAAATTTTAAGAAATGAACAATTAATAAAAATTGGGCCTATATATCAAAGATAAAAACTATAAACTCCTAGGACCAGCAGTTGGCGTAACGGCTATGTCGCTGGCCTCCCATGTAGTTGACCCAGGTTCGAGTCCCAGACCCGGTGGCTTAAATTCTTGCCGGGCATATGTGCGTGCGTGCGTGCCCAAGATCCTGAGAGGAAAATGGAGGAGAGGGGATAGCGGTGTGGCCATCCCCCCGGGGGGTGATTTCTCGCTTTCTGTCTCTCTTTCTGGTGAGCACATGCACCCTATAGCAAAAACCTCTCCAAAAAAACCCAAACAAACAAACAAAAAAACTATAAACTCCTGTCCGAAAGCCAGGGGAGGACATGGCCTTCGCTGGGGCAGCAGCATCTTGGAGAGGCTTGATGGTGGCCATCGTGGGCAGAGGGAGGTGCCACCACCGATGAGAATGTCGGGATCCAGAATGGCAAAGCCTGGGCGATGGCATGTGGGTATCAGAGAAAGGAAATGTAGTCGCTGTGTCAAGCAGCAAGGCTGACCTGGACACGGGCTTCCTGCCCCACAGGATCTGCAGTGCTGGCCAAGGGAGCACGGTGTTTCTTACGGGCAGAAAGATGAACAACTGGCAGGGCATGCTTGATTTATAGACTTTAAACAAATCAAGAGCTCATAAGGCAAAGGCTTACATCAACTGTCACATTGGAAAATCACGTCCCTCCCAAGTTGCCAGAAGTCAGTCGATTCATAGATCCAGAGCTCATGATCTGAAAAGGAAGTTGGGTCATAAGGAAGGAGCTTGCAAAGCCTCTCTGAGTATATACGGGGAGTCTTCCAAAAGTTCATGGAAAATGCATATTATAAAAGCCTATGGGGAACCAGCAGTTAGCGTAATGGCTGTGTCACTGGACTCCCACGTAGTCGACCGCGGTTCACATCCCAGACCCGGTGGCTTAAAACTCACACCGGGCACGTGTGCATGCGTGCCCAGGATCCCGAGAGGAGAATGGAGGAGAAGGGATTGCGGCATGACCATCCCCCCTGGGGGGGTGATTTCTTGCTTTCTGTCTCTCTGTCTCTCTCTGTCTGTCTGGCGAGTGCACGTGCCCTATAGCGAAAATCTCTCAAAAACAAACAAACAAACAAACAAAACCTATGCACAGGGCCAGCAGGTGGTATGGTGGTTAAGGCAGCTGGATCTCACATGGCTGGTTGCACGGTTTAAGTCCTGGACCCAGTGAATTGAACAACACGTTGGATGTGTGTGCATGCCCGACCCTGAGAGGAGGATGGGGGAGAAGGGACTGTGATGTCCTCTTGGGGATGTTTGCTTATTTTGTCTCTGTCTCCCCCTCCCACTCTCTCTTTTTCTCTAAACACACATGCCCTATAACAAATTTTTTTTTAAAGGAAAAAAAAACTATACATGAATTTCTTTGCACTAAAATAAGCCTTTTCTTTAATTCCATTTTGTAAATGAACTTTTTGAAGTTCACTTCTATAGCAAATATTCGTCCTAATCATTTTCCTAAAAAGACCTGAAATCATTTTTGGGGTTGCTGAGTACCAGAGAAGGGAGAATGCTCAGAATTTCCGAGGACTTGGGGCCAGCAGGTGGTGTGGTGGATAAGGGCGCTGGATTCCCACATGGCCAACCATGGTTCAAGTCCTGGACCTGGTGTCTTGCTTTCTCACTTTCCCTTTCTCTCTCTCTCTGTCTCTCTCTCATCAAATAAAGAAAAAAAATAACAATAACAAATGGAAATAAATAAATAATTCTAAAAAAAAAAAGAATTTCTGAGGACTGTGTGATATGGGCTCAAGACACCTTGTGCGTTTTGCTTAAAGGGAGGGCTCGTGGGGTCCCGACTCCAGTCCAGCAGGCTGTGGGCCCAGTGGGTCTTCAGGTCCACTCTGTGGTTATTTTTTTCAGCCCCAGAGTAAGAACTGGATGCTGTAGCAGACACTGAAATCCCTAAGAAAATATTAGCATGGCATTTTATATATATTTTTATCCCAACTCTTGAAATCTGACCTGTGGTTGTTAACTCTCTGGCCTGCTCTGTGTGCCGGCCAGGTACACACCGACTGCTGACCAAAGACCACAGAGCCAGCTGAGTAAGGGCACGCATGCATGTATGCCAGAGGGAGCCTGATCCCACGGGCTGGCCAAGGTTCAAGTCCTGGTCCACTGGCTTCAAAAACATACCAGGTGTATTGCATGTGACCAAGTGCCTAAGAGGATGGAGAACTAGAAAAATGATTGTGGCATGACCACAGGCTCTGTTGCAGGTTCTCTCTCCCCCATGCGCCCTTTGGCATTCAACATAATAAGACTTAACAGAGCCACAGTCAGGCCTAGTGGAAAGCTGTCAGGGTCTAGTGCACAGAAATAGACGGTGAATATTTAGGGGCTGGCAGGTGGCATGGTGGAGAAAGTGCTGGACTCCCACATGGCTGACCGCAGTTTGAGTCCTGGGCCTGGCAGCTTGCTTTCTCACTTTCCCTTTCTCTCTCTCTGATCAAATTAAAAAACTAATAATAAATAAAATGAAATAAATCGTTTAAAAAACTTTAAAAAAAAAAAAAAAAGAAAGAAATAGAAGGTGAATATTTCACGGCACGCCTTCAGTTAGCCACGTGTCAGGGGCCGACCAGCTCCATCAGTCAGCATCTTACTGCGCCAGATCGTGCAGGCCTGAAGAACCCTCAATTGTCTGGACATTCTGCAGAGCGTCATGTGGGGCACTGCAGTGATGACATCACACCAATTGGACCCAGTAAAGAAGAAATGGCAAGTGTTCTGGGTGTGCTGGCAAGACATGCACATACCAGAAGGTGGGATTTCAGCCCTCCAAAGATTCAGGGGCTTCCCCCTAGGAACATTCGTAGACTGTTAGATGTCTGTGTCGGCAAGGACTTAACTTCGCCTTGAGAGGCATGGCCTCTGTGCTCGACTACTGGGAGGCCATCTCTAGACCCTTCCAATGTCATTCCTGATAGGACTGTTTTTGTTTGGACCGAGGGCCTCAGGCCAGCCAGCCAGGAACAATGTGACTTGGGTCGAGAGCTTTGGCTCATGCAGCACCAGTGTGACCTCTGTGGGGCTGGAGACTGGACTCCGCCCCCTGGGGGGTCATCATGAGTCGTGGTGGAACCCCAGTAAAGACTTTGCCAACTAAAGGCTTGGGTAAGTTTCCCTGGTTGGCAATAATGCACGCTGGGAAACTGGCCGTGCCCTGACGCCGTGAAGAGAGGACAACTCCGTGCTTGGCATTTGGCACTTCCCTGGCTCTGCCCTAGGAAAGAACGGGGAGAGGAGAATGGGGGAGAAGGGATTATAGTATGGTCATCCCCTGGGTGGCGGGTGCTGGCTCACTTTGTCTGCCTGTCTGTCTGTCTGTCTTCCTGTAGCTGATCCTCGTCTGCATGCTTTAGCAGTGAGAACTCATAACCAGGAATCTAACAGCGTTCAGGGTATTTTCTGAACTCTTCTAACAAGTTCTAGGGCCAAACTGTAGTCTTGGGGACCCGTGACCTTGCTGTTGGTGTCAGAAGTGATGGTGCTCTTGTGTGGACTGGCCCTGTCTTCGTAGCTGGCTAAGCATTTGCACTTTATGGTCACATCATGCTGTTCCACTCCATGCTCACTCACGTGCAATCACGCACGCACTGCGTTCTTTGTTCTCTGCAATGCCTCTCCTCTCAGACTTTCCACCTCATCTTACTTTACTCTTGCCTGCAGTAAATCCCTCAGGATATTCCTTAGTGGGGTCTGCTAGTGATACATTTTCTTGGTTTTTGTCTGAGAATGTCTTATTTTCTATCATTCTTGAGATACACACACACACACACACACACACGTGCTTACCAGAGAGACACAGAGACAGAGAGGGAGAAAGCACCCCCCAGTGGGGCATGGTCATGCTGAAATCCTTTCTCCTCCATTTCTCTATCCTGTTGGTATTTGGGGCACGCACACACACATGCCCAGTGTGATTTTCTTTGAGGTTTTTGCCATAGGGTGTATGTGTTCACCAGAGAGGGACAGAGAGAGAAAGTGAGAAATCACCCCTGGGGTGGGGGATGGCGTGCCACAATCCCCTCTCCTCTGTTCTCCTCTCAGGATTCTGGGCACAAATGTACACGTGCCCTGTGTGAATTTCAAGCTGCCGGGTCAGGGACTGGAGTTGCAGTCAGCCATGTGGGAGTCCAACACTTTACCTACCACGCCCATGTGTTTTTCTAGCCAGTGGAGCTGGGATTCAAAGCACACAGTCAGCTATGTGGGACTAAGCTCCCTTAACCACTAGGCCATGGAGCAGCCCTCTTGAAATATATTTTTGATAAGTATGGGACCACAGGTTGTTGCTGCTTTTTACAGCACATTAAAGATTTGATTTCCATCTTCCATTGTAGCTACTGAAAAAAAATTAACTGCCTGCCAAAATGCCATTCCTTTGAAGGTAATCTTTCTCCCTTACCTCCCAGCAACTTTTCCTATGTTTTTCTTTCCTGATGTTTTGCTATTAATAATTTATATGTGGGTTTCTTTTGATTTATTTTGTTTGTGGTTCACAGCAATATTTATTTATTTATTTATTTTGCTAGAGAGTATACATGCTCACCAGAGAGAGATGGAAAAACAGAGAGGGGGAAAAGAGAAAGCACACCCATGAGGCATGGTCATACTGCAATCCCGTCTCCTCCATCTCTCCCTTCTTTTGGGATTTTGGGCATGTATGCACACACACCCTGTGTGTTTCTTGAGGCTGCTGGGTTCAGGTCCTGAATTGTGCAGTTAGGCAATATGGAATCTAGCTGCCTTACCCAGTTATGGATCTGGCCCTTAAATTGATTTTTTTTGAATTATTTTATTTAATTTTATTTATTATTACTAATTTTTAACTCAACCAGAGAGAGAGAGAGAAAGTGTGAAAGCAAGCTGCCAGGTCTGGGACTCAAACCACAGTTGGCCATGTGGGAGTCCAGTGCCTTAAACACTATACAAAATGCCAGCCTAATTTGATTTTTTGGGGGTGAGGGGGACAAGCAGTTTGATTTAAGCAATGTGTGGCAGGGACCTAGTGAGCCTAAATCGATTTTTTTTTTTTTTGAGAGGTTTTTGCTATAGGGCGCGTGCACTTGCCAGACAGACAGAGAGAGACATAGAGACAGAAAGCAAGAAATCACCCCCCAGGGGGGATGGTCATGCCGCAATCCCTTCTCCTCCATTCTCCTCTCGGGATCTTGGGCATGCACGCACATGTGCCCAGCGTGAGTTTTAAGCCACCAGGTCCGGGACGCGAATCGTGGTCGACTACATGGGAGTCCAGCGACATAGCCATTACGCTAACTGCTGGTTCCCTCTAAATTGATTTTTTAACAGGGTTTCTGTTATGCCTTAGGAAAATTGTCAGACATTAGTTTTGCAGATATTCCTTTCTTCTTCCTCCCTGCTACTATAATCAAACACATAGTCTTAGTTTTTGTGTTTCTCACAGAGATATCTGAGACTGGGTGGTTTGTAAAGAAATAGGAACTTTTTTTTTTTAAAAGGGGGTTTTGCCTTAGGGCACATGCACTTGACAGAAGAGCAATAGACAGTGAGAGGGAAAGTGAGAACTCACCTTCTAGGGTAGATGGCCACACTGCAATTCTTTCTCTTCCATTCTCTTCCTGGGGTCTTGGGTACACACGTACCATGCCTGGTGTGAGTTTCAAGCTACCAGGTCTGGGATACAAACTGTGGTTGGTCATGTGGGAGTCCAGCGATATACTTGCTGCGTCATTATAATAGGGGCTTATTAACTCGGAATCCTGGTGACTAGAAAGTCTGTAACTATAGACCTAGCAGTAGGCTGGCCTACGACATGACCAACAGACGCATAGAAATTGGCAGGCATATGCAGAGAGACAGCACATGCTACGAGCAGCTCTCTTTTATAGCAACCAGCTCTTTGCAGAACTAACCCTTTCTCACAAGAACTAGAAATCACAGGGTATCCCAAGGCAGCGTTCATCTGTTCATGAGAGTGGTGCCTCCATGACACAATCACCATGATCCAACCACTCCTAACTAGGCTTCACCATCTCTCAGCACCAAATTCCAAACCATGAAACTTTGGGGGATAAACCATGATTCAAAACTTAACATATGGTAAATCTTCTGATTGTATTTTCTTGTGTCTTTTACCCTCATGGTATGCTTCATTCTGAATATTTTCTGTCTTCCATTTCACAGATTCTCTCTTTAGCTATAACTTTTTGTCCATATCCACTAGTTCTCAGTTTCAGTTATTTGGGTTTTTAGTTATAGAATTTTTTTTCTTTTTCATAGCTACTCGGTTATGTTTCCAGTTCTCTGCCCACACTTTCAGTCTTATCTTTTATCTCCTTGAACTAGTAACAATAATTGTGTTACAGTTTCCATTCTCTGCCCAGTTTTGAACCTTGTCTTTTATCTCCTTCAACATCTAAATCTGATCATTCTACTGTCTAGAAGTTCCATGTGACTGTTTCTATTGCTCATCCTTTACCCTGGCCTTTGTTCCTAATGTCTTATCTCATGTGTATCTATGACTGTGTGCCAGATACAATATTATACTTGCAAAACTGTGTATGGAAATAATGAGATCATTGGTGATGTTATCTCATTCCAAGAGGATTTTCATTTGCTTCCATCAGCCTCCTAGAGGCACCAACAGACAGAATTTTCTTTATTTGTGATTAGGGATGAAGGTTTCCTGAACCAAGGCCAGCAGATGGCATAGTAGTTACATTACTGGACTCTCCCATGGTCAGCCATGGTTTGAGTCCCAGACCCAGTGACTTGAAAACCACACAGGACAAGTGTGCATGCGTGCTCAAGATCTCGGGAGGAGAGTGAAGGAGAAGAGACTGCAATTGGCCATCTCCCCTGCGGGGTGATTTCTTACTTTCCCTCTCACTGTCTCTGTCTCTCCCTCTGGTGAATGTATGCTCCCTAAGGCAAAAACTTTCTTACAAAATTATTTTTTGCCCCTGGGCCAACTAGATGACTTTAAACTAGCTTGCAACTTTTTCAAGGGCTCATTTACTTCTGGTGTGACTTTTTCAGGATCCCAATCCAAAGTAGGTCCAGGTTCTATCTTTTATCCTCTAGTCTGTGACAGTATAAATAGCATCACTCAACATAAAAACTACTTTTTCATGAACAGTAAATGTCCCCCGAGTAAGAGGTACCAACCATATGACTTAACTCTATGGATTTTGTTTTCCTTCTCTACCTTCACCATGTAAGTCTTTTTTAAGAAAGATTTTTTGGTACAGGGCATATGCACTCACTAGAGAGACGGGAAACAAAAAATCATCTCCCAGGGGACGGTCATGCCGCAATGCCTTCTCCTCCATTCTCCTCTCAGGTTCTTGGGCACACACTCACATATGGCTGGCGTGAGTTTTAAGCCACTGGGTCTGGGACTTGAACTGTAGTTGACTACGTGGAAGTCTAGTGATGTAACCATTATGCCATCTGCTGGTCCCCATGTAATTCATTTTTTTTGTTTGTTTTTTGTTTTTATAAAATCTATTTATTTCTCTATCTATTCATTTGTTGTGATTTTTCAAGCTGCTGGGTTCAGGACTCAAACCACAGTTGGCCATGTGGGAATCCAGCACCTTAACCACCATACCATCTGCTGGCCCCCACCATGTAATTCTTAATTATCTTCTTTCCATTTTAAAAAGTTTTTCCCTGTTTGTGGCTACTCCAAATTACCCACTTTTACTAGAAGTGGAAGTCTGTTACATAAATTGATGAGATTATTATTGTTATAATCTCCTGTCTGCTTGTTTTGAGTTCCTTTGATGAGGAAAAAAGATATGTAATAAACTCCTATTTATCCAGCAAGATTAAGAGACTATAGAAGCAATTGATTTGACTAAAACTAAACTTGGAGGTCACAAGTTTTTCAGAGAGAAATTTCACAAAGTTATTGATACAAATGTTTTTGAAAATGTAAAAGACTATATATTTAGTTTTGGCGTATGTGGTTGATGAGAATTTTATGTCAATATGCATTTCTCTGTCTTGACATCATAAATCTGAGTTTGTTTATATCTGCTTACTAAAAACGAAAATAGGAGCTTTCTTTTCCTGTAATATCAAAAAAAATGTCTGAGTAGTTTTCTTGAGGTCGTAACTGTTTG